AACAATTCTTTTAAAAACTAAGAGAATTCAATGTTAAAAAACCACTCTGTTACCATTAAAGGTGTAACTATCTGCCAACAGATTTAATGAAAAATAGGTCAAGAAAACTTATATTTTAAAAAGTTATATATTTTTTTCAAAAATTACCTTTAGGTGACTTTATTTTGCAAAGTCTCATAAGTCAATGGGACTTAAATTCAACAATGTATGTATCTTAGCAGCATTCCCCAGTAGCACAGTGGTGGTAACTCTGGTGCAGGACTCCCTCCCGATTAAGAACCCACCTACATGGCAGAAACATGGGAAGAGCTCTGTAAACACAGCAATCACCATATCGGGTCAGGCCAAATATCCATTCCATCTGGCATCCTGTCTAGTGGATGCTTTAAAGCAGTGGTTCTCATCCTTTTTATACCAGGATGCATTTGTAAACATGAGTGGCCAGCCTTGACCCAGTGCCCATCAATCCCCACCCACTGCCCCCAGGCCCCATCCCCCCAAGTGTGTGGGGCAAAGGGTGGGTGTGGGGCATGGGGGGGGCTGGAACTCTGCCAGCCTGCAAAGGAAAAACCACGGTTTCCCACGTTTCTCCTTTAAAGGAGAATCTATTTTTAAAGCGTGTTGATCCATTTTTAAAGTTTGCCCGCAACCCTTTCATATATTCTTGTGACCCACTTTTGGGTCACGATCCCTGGGTTGAGAAACAGTGCTTCAGAGGAAAAGTATTAGAAGCAGGGCATGTGTAGTGATCCATTCCCTGCCAGACACTCCCAGTTACCAGCAGCCACAGGGTTAGGCATGTCCTGAGCCGGAGATGATATCCCTGACTGGTGTGTTCAACAGCTCTGGATATACCTGTCCTTCTTAAATCTGTCATCTCCTTTTTAAACCAGGTGATAATCTTGGCTTCCATTGTCCTGTGGCAATGTGTTTCACAAGTTATGTCTTATGTAAAAAGTCCTTCCTTTGATTTGATTTAAACCTGCTACCTGGTTATTTTGGTGCCCCTTGATTTGTATATTATGAGACAGTGTATAATAAATGGACTGGAAAAACTAAACAGAGAACCAAACAGTTCTATTATTAAGTTCTCTATTTAATAGTTCTCCTATTCAGTTCTCTATTCACTTTTTCCAGCCCCTTTATGATTTTGACCTCACTCACATTACTCCTTCACTTGTCCTTTTTCCAACCTGATGAGTTTGAGTCTTTTCAACCTCTCCTTAGACAGTAGCCATTCCATACCCATGATACTGCATGATGCCCTCCCCCATTCTTTTTCTAGTTCTCCTATATCCTGTTTGAGCTGGGGTCACCAGAACTGCACGTAGAATTCAAGATGTGGGCACACCATGGCTTTGTATAAAGGTACCGATGCTTTCTGCTTTGTTTTCAATTCCTTTTTTGCTGGCATATGCATTGTTCTTAATCATGTGAACAGCTCCACAACACACATTTGTGAGCAAAAGGGTTGCTGCATTAGGGCAGCAAGGTGGAGGACCCAGTTCCAATGCAGGTCCACTGATGATCAGCATGATATAACTGAATCCCCTAGCATGACCCTTCCTATGCTGTGCTCTTCCTCTCTCTAACAGGCTTGGCTCCTGCGGAAGCCTAGCTAGCACATCACAAACCATCTTTTACAGATACTTCACTCGCTGCACAGACACAGAAACACAGCACCACGCTACCAGCCCTACTCCACAACTGCACATGATGAGACTTCTCCCCCTTGGTTTCCCATCACATGCTGACACAAGAATGACAGCTAGCAGCCCATTCATAAATTACCTGCAGCTTACAGCCCTTGCATCAACCATCCAATATCCCTGAAACTAATATTAGACTCTTCACAGCCATTTCATCATCACCCCGAAAGCACAAGACCTCTCCTCACAAGGGTTTCCTTCTCATAATCCTCCATACTTCAGTTCCTTCCCCAACTTGAGGCTCCCAAAAATTACTCCTACATACAGCTCCCCACCTCCCTCACAACTGCCCCCAAGACTACCAACCCCCACCTCAGCATCCTCACAGTTGCCCCCGACCAACGTTCCCTGAACTGACAATTCCCACCATCAACACCCTAGCAAGCACCCTTTTGAGTTGTCAGTGCCTTATCTCCAATCTCTGGTGGCATCCCACCTCCTACCACGACCTTCCAGGACTTCAACCCACTTTGTGGTTCCCTCCAATTCACTTGTCCCCTCACAAACCCTACAATGACCCACCATCTCACAGGTGCCTCAGCTCATAAACACCACAACTAATATCTCCCCAAGAAGCATCCCCAAAACAGATCCCACTTCACAATGTGTTCGTTCACATTTCAGTCACACCCTCAGACCCTTCTCACAATCACCCCTGCACCCCTCCAACCCACACCAAATCATCTCATCACAACTCTCAACATCCTTCCCTTCACCTCACACTCCATTTGACAATCCCCATGATACTCACCCCTCTGCCATGTAATCAGCTCCAGTGTCCCCTCCCCCCCACCCCCGGTCACTCCCCACTTCAAACTCCTCAGTCACCCCAAGACACCCTCACCCCAAGTCACCAGCACCTCACTGCCCTCTCATGCCCCCCTGCCATCACCTCCTACAGCCTTCCTCTTCCCAACTCCCTATAAATCATGCAATAGGCCAGGCATTCCTTATTACAGCTGCCCTCAGTGCCCCCGCAACACCCTCCCCAGCCTTGCTTTCACTTGCCAGCCCCTCTACAGGGCACTGCCCCCTCTACTGAACCAGGCCTACACACCCCTCACCCCAGCCCCACAGACCATCCATCACCCTCAGGATACCCAGTCCTTGACCTGCACCTTCACTACCCAATCCTCCATGGCACCCAGCCCCTCACTATCCACCACACCCCACCCCACCCCACCCCACCCCAGCATAACAACCCCTCCGCATCACACCCATTCCCTCCCCATCATACTTAGCTCCCCATTGCACCCACCTCTCTCCATTGCAGCCACCCCCTCCCCATCACACCTACCTCCTCCCCATAGCACCCCACCTCCATCACCCTCATGACACCCAGTCCCTGACCAGGACCTACACCTTCACTGCTCCATCTGCCATGACACCCAGCCCCCACTACCCACCCCTCCCCATCACCCCCACCCCACCCCATGTGCAAGGCACTGTTAATGTGTGGAACTCATTGCCACAGGAGCTGATGGAGGCAGGTAACGTGGCCAGGCTCAAGGAGGGACAGGCTAAATGCAGGGCTGATGGACCCATTCTTGCCTATTGAACACAAAGGGTTGGAAACATTTCCTCAGGCATCTCCAACTCAGTGGGCGCATCTACGTGAGACACTAGAAATGCAACAGACTAATTCTACTGCATGTTAGTGCGTCACGGTGCAATTATGATGTATTAATGCACATACAGACATGCCCAGTAAAGAGCAGATGCCAGAGAGGGTACTGAATAAGGGCTGGCTCACCCTAGTGCAGTGGTTTTCAATCTTTCTTTTCATTTGTGGACCCTTACCAATTTTGAATGGAGGTGCGGCCCCCTCTGGATTGTAACTGTGGGCGCTCACCTACTTCTGACTGATCCCAGCCATCTCTCACCGACCCCCTAGACCAGGGGCAGGCAATTATTCTGGGTGGAGGACCGCTTACTGAGTTTTGGCAAGCCATCGAGGGCCGCATGACAGGTTGCCCGGGGCAGATAAATATTAATTTTCTAGGTTTTTAGGGGTCCCGCGGGTCGGATAGAATGGCCTGGCATGCCGCATTTTGCCCACCCCTGCCCTAGACATGGGCTGCAGACCGCCAGGGGTCTGTGGACCGCAGGTTGGGAACCACTGCTCTTGGATCTGCCCTTGGGTGGTGGTCTGTATCCCTCGGGAGCCTCCTCCCCTGCCGCCGACACCCTGCTGGGCTAGGGTCGGCATCTCCCTGGCCACCAACACCCTGCTGGGCGAGGGGTGGCATTCACCTGCCCACCTGCCCTAGACATGGGCTGCAGACCGCCAGGGGTCTGTGGACCGCAGGTTGGGAACCACTGCTCTTGGATCTGCCCTTGGGTGGTGGTCTGTATCCCTCGGGAGCCTCCTCCCCTGCCGCCGACACCCTGCTGGGCTAGGGTCGGCATCTCCCTGGCCACCAACACCCTGCTGGGCGAGGGGTGGCATTCACCTGCCCACCGACAGCTGCCTGGGCTAGAGGTGGCATCTCCCTGGCCACTAACAGCCGACTGGGCTGGGGGGGCCCCATGCCCTGCCCCTCGCACCCTGTTGGCCTACAGGTCGGCTCCCTCCTTGACTCTCGCAGGCTGCCAGGCCGAGGGGACCCCCCCGCCCCACACGGGCTGGCCCAGAGGCCCCCGGGCCTGCCCCAACATGGCGCCCCTTGTG